CCACTTAGAACTATAATATACTTCAAGATGCCTTTGTTTTTATCCACTTAGAACTATAATATACTTCAAGATGCCTTTGTTTTTATTATCACCTCCAAATCCATGACCTAGCCACCCAGAAGGTCGAGGTCAGTAGAGGCACGGGAACACAACTCAGAAGTTGCCCACACTACCTGACCTGGATACTTATTGGCTGTAATCTTAAAGGTCACTTGGTTAAAGTCCAATGCCACATAGCACTGTGGGTGTACTTTCATCACATGGACTGTAGCAGTTCAAGAAGATAACCCACCACTTCTCGATTAGAAATAAGAAATGGTTGTCAGCCTTCCCAGTAATGCCCACATATAAAGTGTGAAAATATTTCATGCAGCTTGGCTGTTTTGGCAAGCTTCCCAAAGGCATTGAGGCGACTGGAATTGCACTTGGGAGAGGTGGCCAGAAGTAAAATATTGGCAAGGGTATTAACATTCTGGCTGCAAAAATAGGGGTGCTGATGCAAGGCACCCAGCTAAAGATAGATGGCTCAAGCTTCTGTAATCCAACAGCCTGTGTCTGGATGAGTGAACCCTACCAAATGAACGTGGGACTGCTCATTTAGTTAATTTGCAGCTAATCCTCCTGATATCTGGCTAGAAGTGGAGAGGGGGACGCAAGGTTGACTATGACATTGATTAGTTTGTATGTACCAATAGCAATGCCAGTGGTCAGTACCATGGTGGCCCCAGTTCAAGCATGCTGCTCCAGTATTGGAGCATTTAGTTCCTTGAGTCTGTTCTGCCATTCGGTGAGATTATGACTGATCTACATATTAATCCCATTTAGCTGCCGTTGCTCTATAGCTCTTGATACCCTTACATATTTATAGTGAGGAATACCACATTTATCAATACAGTACAGGGGTGTAAGACATTTGGGTCCCACATCTTCCATTTGGTAACATTGTGGCTAACTTGTAATCCGTAATGCCTTTCCTCCATATTCCTTTAACACCTTTGGTTTGCCAGTATCGATCCATCTCAGATTTAAAATCAGCAATTGATCTAATTTTATTTGCTGTTAGTGGAATGAAGTTCCACTGTTTGTGTGGAAGTGTTTTCGAACTTCACTCCTGAAAGAAAAACACAAAAAGTGCTGGAAACACTCAGCACATCAGGAACATCCAAGGAGAGAGACAGCATCAAGTGTTTTGGGTTGAAGTGTTCTTGCATCAGAATCTTGTATTCAAACAGGTGGTCCTCCTAGGCGAAATTAAGGATGGGTAACAAATGCTGCCCTTGCGCTTCAACATCAACATCCCATAAACAAATTGAGAAAGAAAATCTTGGAATCATGAATGTTCATGAGTAACAATGAAGCTGATTATATTGGCTTGGGAGACAGAGCACTGTTTAAAAGCCAACTTTAATTTTGATATCCAGAGTTGGAGTTTCTGATTTAGGGAATATGTTATGTAAAGTGTGCAGCACAGAAACAGGCCATTCAACTGAGATGGCCTGTAACAGTCCTTATTCTCCATATCGACCTCCTTCAGTTCAATCTCATCAACATATCCTTCTAGTCCTTTTTTCCATTGTGTTATCTAACTGCTCATTTAATAGTTCAGACATAATTTGAAAACAAAAAGCTCAACTGGACCTGCTGCTTCCCCAAAGCAGCAGCAGTTACAATCTCAAGGGATATTTAAAGTCAGAATTTTGACTTCCTCACAGCAAAATGTATTGTTTGGATTGATTTCTCTTTTCTTTATTTCAGGAAATGACCTAGAGGCCTTAGAAATACGTTAGTGCTGTCCTGCTTCATACTGCAACTGAGTGCATAATCAATCTGGAAGCAGCACTTGTTTCCGCTTCGATCCCAAACTACCTCACCAAGGATTTAAAAACGCAACACGTATGAAGGGAGGAGGAGGCAGCTTGTGAAATCTACGGGAGTTGGAGCATAGGCACTTGTCAGTTTTTTGTTTGTGTTAAAGTTGAAACACTACATCCAAATGAACTACGTTTGACCGACTGGATCTGTCAAAAATTCTTTGAAGAACTTGATCACGGGACAGAAGTAATATGGACCGCTTTGAATAATAGTCCAAGCACTGAGTAGTTAATATTTTAAGTTTAACTTTCGCTGTTGATCAGTGTCTTAGTCCATTTTAGTCTGCGAATCTGAATTTTTTTTAAGAGTTTACTTTGCAAGTGCTTTTGTGTTGGAAGTAGCAAGAGTGTTCCATCAACGTCGTATGATTCAGAACAGAAAGACAGTATTTTAGTACTAGTTGTGTTGGTGAGCTGATTCCCATTCTTATTGGGTTTGATTTCTTTCACTGCCAGCCCCGCTTTCTTTAGGGTGTAAAATGGCATTGACTCTTCCTGTTAACCACTGTGGCTGGTTTTATTCTAATAATTGGAATAGTGAGAGGCTGTGCTAGACCCTTCGTGCATTGCTGTGCAGCTTTTTAAAGAGCAAGAGCCGCCGATGAATGTGCAATTCGGGGACAGAGCAACGGTAATCAATTCTGAAAAACTCCTCATCTTTTTTTTAATTATTATCTCTCCATACTTGACTGGTCGCAGCAGGGCTGCACCTACAGAAGATTAATAGATTTGACTCTGTCAGCAATCATCTCCTGTGCTGATGGACTGTGCATGTATGAAAATGCTTGCCTTCAGATTTACTCTAGAGCTATAACTATGTATGTGATACTCTTGACTCTTTTTGCAGAACTTTCCATGTTCAATGTTGTTTGGGAAATTTAATCAGAAGAAAAAATCGCTACCTAAATAAGACTTTTTACTCAAAAAAGGGCAAACAACAAATCCACAGAAAAAGCACCATTACTTATGTATTGTTGCAGTGCTCGGGAAAACAAAATGGACTATAAGCGACGGTTTCTGCTTGGCGGGTCCAAGCAGAAAGTGCAGCAACACCAGCAGTATCCCATGCCTGAGCTAGGCAGGACCCTGAGCGCACCTATGGCATCCACCGCTGCTGTCACACCTCCATTGACACCCACCACCCAGATAGCTGATATCCAGCAGGGAATCTCCAAATACTTGGATGCACTGAATGTGTTCTGCCGAGCCAGTACGCTCCTCACAGACCTCTTCAGCAGCGTTTTTCGAAATTCGCATTATTCTAAAGCAGCTATGCAACTGAAAGACGTGCAGGTACATGTCATGGAGGCAGCAAGCAGACTCACAGCAGCAATAAAACCAGAAATTGCGAAAATGCTCATGGAACTGAGTGCAGGGACAGCAAACTTCAAAGATCAGAACGACTTCAGTCTTCAAGACATTGAGGTAAGGAAACTGGCAGAGTTGATTGACTAACTGAGAATTGTCACCATAAGCATGAAACTGTTACAAATACCAAAAAGAAGCATTATTTCAAGCTTTTCTATTTTTGTTGAAGTATTGCCCAAAGAGATTGTTTTGTGAATGAGCTAGCAAGAATAGTTGCAACCAACAGTGCGTGAGAGCTGATCTCCTATATCGCCTAGAATCTCCACAGTGCAGAAACAGGCCATTCAGCCCCACAAGTCCACACTGACCATTCAAAGAACATCCCACCCATCCCCATCCCCATCCCCATCCCCATCCCCATCCCCGTCCCCGTCCCCGTCCCCGTCCCCGTAACCCTGCATTTCCCACAGCTAATGCACCTAACTTGCACATCTTTGGACTGTGGGAGGAAACCCACGCAGACACTGGGAGAACGTGCAAACTCCACACGGACAGTTGCCTGAGGTTGGAATCGAACCAGGGTCCCTGATGCTGTGAGGCAGCAGTGCTAACCACTGAGCCACTGTTCTGCCCATCTGTTAACATACACATTTTAAGAATTATAATTGCTGTCATCCCTTTTTGAAAATGAAGAAAGAACAAACTTTTATTCCTATAGACCCTTTCATAATCTCCAGATTTCTCAAATCACTTTACTTAGAACTCAAGGGCTTTGAAGTAGGTTTGACATTGTAATATAGGGAAAGGTGTTAACTAATTTGTTCACAAGATCCCACAAATATCAGTGAAGTAAGTAGCCAAACCATCTGATCCTGGTGTGTGAGATAACACAGTGTGGAGCTGGAGGAACACAGCAGGCCAGGCAGCATCAGAGGAGCAGGAAAGTTGACATTTCGAGTTGGGACCTTTCTTTTCTGAAGAAGGGTCCCAACCCGAAATGTCAGCTGGGGAAAACCTGAGAGAATAGATTTCGTTGCCTCAACGCATCACCTGAAAGATGGCATCTCTTATTGTTCAAGCACTCCTTCAGGAAAGCACAGAGGGTCAACCTGGATTGCATAATCAAGTCTCAGGACTAGGACTTGAACTCACAATGTTTTGAGCTAGATGCAAGAGTGCAATCCACGGAGCCACGGTTAACATCTTGAATATCACTTTTATTAAGTTGGATTTGTTTTTGAGAATTTAGTGTTGACTGAGCTCTGCAGGCCTTGTGTTTGATCTGTACGCTGTGTTGGTAGTCAGCCTACCTTGGTGGTCTGAAATTGATTTCAAACTCTCGGGTTGGAGCGGGGATGGTAAAATTGACCAAGGTATGAAGGAGCAGGAGTAAGCCATCAAGCTCCTCAAGTTTAGTCTGCCATTTTGGTTCATGGCTGATCATTTATTTCTGTGCCATTTTCCCATGCTATTTCCATATCCCTTGATGTCATTACCGAGAAATCTGTTGATTTCTGCTTTGCACAAGTCTCGGGGGTAAAAAATTACAGATTCAGTAGCCTCTCAATGAAGACATGCTTCCTCTTCTGAGTCATTAACAGTAGAGTCATCCACCGTGTTGATTCCTTAAAGAAATTTTTAAGTTTCAATGCAATCACGTCTCATTCTTTTAAGCTCCAGAGAATGCAGGACCAATCTCCTCAATCTCTCCTTATAGGACCATCCAGGAATTAATCTGGTGAATCTCCATTGCACTCCTTCAATGGAAACCTTTATCCTTCTTCTTGCTTTCTATCCAGTGACTGAAGATTACCTGTGGCTGAGAGAGCGGGGTTTAACGAAAATGTTCTTTTATGATTTGGTACTCTGTAGTGAATGTGGTCCAGAATGTGATGAGATATTCTGTGGGGGCATTACAGAAATGGCCTGTATAATTATTTAGAAGCTAAGACTTGACACACTTCAAGAGAAGACTTTGAGCTGAAAGTGGAAATCGTGTGAGGAAGATTTGAACACTCATTAACAGAGTGGGATTATCAAATGGAAAATTCAGTAGAAAAACAGACTCTTTCAGGATTTGCTGTGTAATTGCTGGATGCTATGCTGTGGAATTCACATGGATTTGCTTTACAGCTTTATTTAGTTGTCCCCTGCTTGTTTAACAGTTGATAAGTGCCAGCAATATATGATATGACATGACCATTCTCTTTGCAGTTCAGATTTACAGCTGGTTTAAAATAGTGTGAGCAGAATATATTGTAGATGTGCAAACAGCCTGTGTTTTACCTCCATGACCCATGGCTCTATCGAAAACATCAAACTATATTTCCTCTATACATGCAGTAGGGCTAATTATCTATTTTCAACCTATTTCAGATTTCTATACAAAGGCCACAGTTAACGCTTTTAATTATTTCTTGGAAAACACAACATTATGTATAATGTCGTCATGATATGGTCCAGAGGTTAAGGCTTATGGTGTATGTGAAATTCCATATCAGCATGTAGATTTGTACATTTTATTAATTCTAAAATGTTATACATCCATAAATTTATTCTGATGTGTGAAGGAAAATAAAGTTCAACATGACGCAAATCCATGTTGCACATATGGGAATGGATGAGTGATGGTTCAGGTGGGTTTTACTGGATGCTGAGAGGACGTTTTTTGCAGGGGTCTTGAAAGGTTTTTTTTTTGAAGATTATTTGTGGGACTCTTTACAGTATCCTTTGAAGGATTTTTTACCGTGGAGTTTTTCAGGATTTATTTTGGTGACAGCTGCACTTATTTTTCTTCTCTCTTAGGAACTCCCTTTAGCAAATTGATTGCATTGTTCATACTTCTGTTCACATTTAAACACCAGAGTCACCTTAGTCAAAGATGACCATGTCCTCTTAAGTGTTATTAAAGAGTCAACAAGTGACCTTATGTTAATTGTCTTGGCTGGTGGTTCTTCTTGCCCATCATCCTCCTCCTCTATAGTCCTTTATTTAATATTCATTTAGTAGATGTAGGCATCTCTGGTTTGGCCAGCATTTATTGCCCATCCCTAATTGCCCAAAGGGCAGGTAAGAATCAACCACATTGCATGCTGTAATGGACAAACATATTGGATTGAATGCATTAAACACAGAGATTGTTGCCAAGTTGCTTGTCCCACATGCAGACGTTTTCTCCAATAAGGGTTGAACAAAGGGAGGCAATGGTACAGAGGAAACACAAGTGGTAAAGCCTAATCCTATTGCAGGCTAATAACCTAGGAACATGGGTTCAAATTCCAATGTGGCAAGTTTAAATTCAGTAAAAATCTGGAATAAAATGTTAACCTAATGATGACCAGATAACCACTGTGGATAATCATAACACCCCATCTTGTTCACTAATTTCCTTTTAGGAAAGGAAGTCTGTCATCCTTACCTGGTCTGGCCTCCTGTGACTCCGGACACACTGATTCAGATGATGACTTCTGCTTTAAAGCTTTGTGCTTTTTTTTAAAATGTCTTGTATGTACTCATTGTAGTTTGGAAGAATGAGAGGTGATCTCATTGAAATATATAGAATTTGTAAGGGTCTTGTCAGACTAAATACTGCTTCCCTTCATGGGAGAGTCTAGGACCAGATGCTTAGTCTTAGAATAAAGAGGTGCCAGTTTAAGACTGAGATGAGGAGAAATTTCTTCTTTGAGAGTTGAGGGTCTTTGGAAATCCTTGTCACTGAGCTGTGGGGACAGAGTCTTTGTTCATATTTAATGCTGAGATAGATAGATTCTTGATCAGAGGTGGAATTGAAGGTTATGGGGAAAATAGACAAGTAATATCGGATCAACCGATGGTCCGATTTATTGGTGGAGCAGACTTGAGGGGCTGAATGGCCTACTCCTATTCCTGTTTTTTATGGTATGTTCTGCAAGGTATAGTTCTCCAGAATAACCAGCCTCATCAATGTTAACTCTCATTGAGGCTTACATTCTGATTCTCCATCGATTTCTCCTAATATGGGAATGTAGGAATAGGAGTAATTCATTCTGCCTCTTGGACCTGTTCTGCTATACAATGAGGCCATAGCTGGCCTGTGGCCTAACTCCATATACCTGCCTTTGGCGCCTATCCCTTAATACCTTTGCTTAACAAAATTTTATCTCTCTCGGATTTAAAGCTAATGACGGATGCAGCAACGACTGCCATTTGTGGGAGAAAGTTCCAAACCTCAACCACCCTTTGTGTGAGAAGTGCTTCCTAACATTGCTCCTGAATGGTCTGGCCCTAATTTTTAGACTATGCTCACTAGTTCTAGAATCCTCAACCAGTGGAAATAGTTTGCCTTTATCTAACCTGTCTTTTCTTGTTAATATCTTGAAGACATTGATCAAATTTAGCTGCTTTATCATCAGCACTGGCAACTTCACCACTTGCAACAATGTTATACATGTTATCTAGCAAACCCCCTGTGCCTATCTATGATTAAAGTTTCACTTTAGTCTATCTTAACAACACCATACAAACTCCCAGTCTTTTCTTGATTCAACATAAAACTAAAAGTCTTGTGGCGCAATGGTGTTAGTTTCCTTGCCTGTAGTCTGGAAGATCCAGGTTCAAGTCCTACCCTGTCCTGGAGATGTGTCATAGCCTGTTCGAACAGGTTTATTGAAATAATTAAAACTAAGTGGCAGCTTTGGATTAAACATCAACCTCAACCTCAACAAATGGTTTACAGCCTTTCCATGTCCATTATAATTCCACCTTTATTATATCTACTTAAATCTAACAGCATCCTAAGGATTTACTGGATTACCAAACTCAAAAATCTGAAAAGAACTGCACATACTGGAAATCAGAAACAAAAACAGAAATTGCTGGAAAAGCTGTTCTGAAGTAGGGTCACTTGGCCTGAAACATTGACTTTGCTTTCTTTCCACAGATACTGTCAGACCTGCTGAGTTTTCCCAACAATTTCTGTTTTTGTTTCATCAATTTTTCAGTGTTTTTGATAATTGTCCTCACTTTTCCTGGGACGCAAGAGCCCTAACAATATCTACTGAATATTTACCAATTTCAGAACACTTCATGATATTTTATTTTTGATGTCTTTTCTCAGCAGTAAGCACCTCATAATCACT